ACTTTTACATACTTTTATCTATTCATATAGGTAATTATATGTATGTCCGTGACAAAAGAATATTGTAGGGCATGATGATTAAAATATATCAATAACTTTTTATAACTTAATAAGAGGTGTCTAGGGATATTTTTAGAAATAATAATAAAATACATCAATAGGTTGAAATTATACTAATTTAATTCATTTTTTTCATCTTATACTTGTCGCCAATCATTCCAAATGAAATAATTTATTTTGTATTTTGAATGTAATTATACAAGTAATATCTTCAAAAGTAAACATAAAAATATTATGAATTAGTTCTTAATCTGACCATATGGGCGCACTTCAAAAGCCATCATTAACGATGTGTATACCAACATTATCAAATGAATGTGGTACAAATTTAATATTATAATTTCATAATTTCTTGAAATAGACATGAAATAATAAAGCTATCAAAAAATTGTTCTAAGATATATTCTTTGTTTTCAAAAAACTTGAAATAATATTTCTTCTATCAAATTCTATTTTTTGATATTCAAAATAGTGAGTTAAAGTTAAAAAAAAATTATTCTAAATTTTAAGGCAACCAAATGTGGTTGCTAGGGCATGTATGGGTCAAACAGTTTTTTTCTCTCAATACCAAAGATACATAATCTTTTTTCTCAAATCCTTTTACCAAATTGTTCCTTTTTTGTTGTAGTTGCTTAGAGAGTGAATCAATGGAGTTGTACTTTATAATCTGTTTGAAAAAGATATGGTAGTAGAAACATGTAGTGGAAATTACAATATTTTTAGGAATCTTATAAATGAAGCAGATGGATCATTAAAAGCATCTTTTACATATTTCAATATTAAGAATAATTTTATATTTTAATAATAATTTTTGAAACATTAATAAGAAAAAAGTTTTTTCATTAATATAATAATAAGATAACAATAAAATAAAAAATTTGGACACCAATTAAACCATTTGTGAAAGAAATAAGAGCAAAAAAGGATTAATTCCACATTTTGATAAGAATTGAATATTTATTCAATTTTCTATAATTAAAAATATTTAATATTTATAAGAATTATCATTAAATTTATTAGCATTTGATTCTTTTAATGTACATGGTAATATCACAAAACATGGTCTAATATACATGATATTATTATATGTATGTATAAAATAAAAATTATATTCATTAGCTCTTTTATAAAATGAAAAATTCCATGTAAATGGACATATGTAAGTAAAAATGGCCCAAGATTTAGGAATACTACAATATAGAAGCCAAATGTTTCTAAATTACAAAAAAATTCAATAATCTCATATGATTATATAAGCTTTCAATGTAAATTCTATTTGTCAATATTTTGAAGAAATTTCTAATAACCAAAATTTTCAAAAATCAAACATTTTATATCTATTAGAAACAAGACTACAATCTTCATCAATTAAAATACAAAAAAATTATTAATACATCTAAATATAAGTATGTATTAGCATTCCATAGTCATAGTTCACTAATGTTGTATGAAAATGATATGACATTAAACTACTTTAATATTGTTATCATTGATGGTTCAAAGTATAGTGTGTCTATGTTTAATTCAAAAACACAAAAGGTAATCCACTTATATATATATATATATATATATATATTCATTATCCAAATTTTTACAAAATTAAAATTTTGATTAAAAATTTTCTATATAATGCTTTAGAATCATCCTTAGAGATTTCAATATTAATATCTTTGTTTGCAATGAATTTAGAAGAGAAAAAAAAATTATTATAATTTGTAAATTATTATAACTTGAACTAAAAAAATTCCTTTCATAGTTTTTGATTTCATTTTACAAAAAAAATATTTCATTGCAATTAGTATTCAGTGGTATGATAATCTAGCCAATGTGCATTTGAAGCTCAAAATTTACAACCATTCTATACAACATTATTTAATATATGATTCAAATTAAAATAATTCATAATATTATTTAATGAATGATTTTAAAAAAAAATCATTATAAAAAAATGATAATAACTATCACTTTTTTATAGTATAGTATTTAAAAATAGAACTATACATCTTCCATCAATACCAATAGTTCAAAATATACATCGATCTTACAAGTTGATACAACATTCACTTTCTTCTTTTTAGATTTCTTACCATTAGTACTAAGCCATCACATACTACAAAATCCCTTAGACAAATTGAATGTATTTTGAACCAGGATTAATTATACAAAACATATCTTTTTTAACAAATAAATCAAACCTAAGGCTTGGCAAAAGACATCCCCTAAAATATACACATATATAACTTCTTCTTTTTTAAAGAAGATTTTATTTTTTACTTTCAATTTGTAATATTGTTGAAATTTTTATTATTTGATTCTCTCTACATCCTTTTGGCATAATTTTTAGTGAAAGAAAGACAATATTCCTCTTACAAAACTAACTCAACCTTAAAATATTATTTCTAATTCTTTCATAGACTAAAATTGATGGAAAATTGTCTCAAGCCCCAAGAATAGAGCCATTGTTGTGAGATTGCTTGTTCCACTACAAAACCATTAGAGCATTTCACAATAATCTTTTCTATGGGCTATGGGAGTGCTTTGTAGGAGACAAAAGTTTTAGATGGGTTTCAAGATGCCATTAGAAGTTGTGTTCAAGACAATTATGTTTAAGCTTATTCAGAACTACATCACATTGCTAAGAGTGCAAAAATAAGAGGTGACCAAAATAAAGTTTGTTTCTTTGTTTGCTTTAGAAGAGATAACTGGAATGATAATATGAAATATTATAGTAGAGTCACATTTGTCAACACCTTCAAGAATGACATGTTCTTCCTCAAATAAATTATGAGATATAATGTGTTTAATATCACAACCTATGAAAAGACTTTTGATATTTGGTGACTTTATTGGAGGTAGGCACGACTCTTAATGGTATTATAAATATTTTATTTGAAAGAAGTTACAAAGGTTTTAACAATCATTAAATCTCAAGGTGGTCTTTTTGTTGTGAAATGAGACATTGCCAATGGCTGAGAGAATCTATCAACTACCTTTGAAGATAACAAAGATTAGAATATGTGACAAATATAATTCACTGCATCTTAGACTTCTTCAATATATGATCACTGCTGTTCGTGGAACTTATCCCTTAAAGGAGGGATAATGTCATGGACGTACATACTTATACTAAAAATTATCTAGATAATTAAGTAAAAGTAAAGGAAAATATAATATTTTCATAATATCTTGTTAAAAAGCTTCCTAGAAGCTTCATATATATTGCTTTGACTTTATAGGTGTCCATAGTTGATTTTTTAGGTTAAAAAATTAATCAACAAGTTAGCCACATATCACTTATGTTGGTTGCTTGTAGAACAAGCTAATATGTACTGCACACATAAGAAACTTGCCTTGCAAGTCAAGACATATGTCCTACAAAGTCGACACATGTTGGAGGTCCTATAAAATGTCACCACATAGATCTTAGATAGATAGTATATATAAAGAAAAGAATGAGGTCTTCTTCACTCTTTTTAATTCCTTTCTTACTTCTAATCTACATTCAAGAGTCTCTATAGATAGATAGTATATATATATATATATATATATATATATATATATACTTCTTTATTTCTATTTTGTTACTTTTCTTTTGACACGGATTTCACAAGTTTATGCATCTTCTTTCAGTTTATGTCTTTGATACATATAACCAATAAGACATTGTTACATATCTCTTTAGTAGATAGAATATATAGAGGCAAGAGTGGGGCCTTCATTACTTCTATAAATACATTTCTTATATTTTAAACTTAATTCAAAAGTCTTTAGTCTCATTGTATTTGGCAATATTTATTCTAATTTAAATCTAATATATATATATATATATATATATATATATATATTTTATTTCTTTACTTTCTTTCTTTGAATAACATAAGAGTGTATTGCTTCTTTAAAATTTTATTGTCATTCATCTCCTTGACATCTATATCACATCTATTCTTATTGATACAATTGGATGACATGGAAATAAAAAAAAATACATCAAAGTATTAATTAAGTATTTATTTTTTAAAAAAATATTTATCAAAATTATACCAAAAGACAAAGATTAGTATTCAATATGGCAAGTTTTAAAGTCTAATGTAAAAGTTGATTAATTAATTCAAATAATAATTAATTATAAATTAAGAATAAAAAGTTATAATTATAAGTATATTATTTATTGAGAGGTTTCAATAGTAAGAGGATAAGTTTAAAAGAATGACAAACTTTGAAATGATTTTGTGAATGGTAAAGTGAATTTAAATTATTTATTCATTTAATGAGATTTAAGTATAATTTTGCTCAAAAGAAATAATTGATTAGTTGTGTGTTTTATTCCATGAAATCTGTTTTTTTAATACATATGATAAAAAAATAGCATAAATTTGTGTTTAAAAATTTTGATTGTAATAATTATTTTTTGTCAAATTTTAAGAATTTAACTTTAAATAATATTTTTGAGATTATAAACATTACATAAATACTTTTTTTGATATTCTAATTGATAAATCAACTTAAAATTTCTAGCCCAAAATAATGATTTATATATTTTTTGTTAACTACTTCATTTATTTATTTATTTTTGATTTTAGAGTAAGAAATCTACAATTTACAACATAGAAGATACTTGTGGGGTCTCTAAATCTTCAATGTGACATGTTTTTGTTTTGATGTATGTATGTAAAGAAATTCAAGGATTTGTAATAGTAGCGAGGTTGAAATTGAATACTTGTGACATGGAGTGTGAATGTTGGGATCACAAGAAGCATTTAAACAAGAGCGGAGTGGAAGGAAGAGAAGGTAAGGAAGGAATTGAAGAGAAGAGAAGGGGGAGGAATGAAAAGCACATCTATCATCATCATCTATCAATCAATCATCATCATCTATCAATCAATCATCATCATCATGAAGAAGAGGGAAGGGAAAGGAAGAGCACGAAGACAGACAGACAGACAGACAGACTCTCTCTGCCTCACTCTCCCTCTCCAGCAACAAACAAACAAACAAACAAACAAAGCCAGTCACCCTTCCTTGGCTTCCTTTGCTTCCCTTCCTCTTCTCTTTCTCTTCTCCTCCTGCTTGTTTGTTTGTTTGTTAGTTGTTGCTGCTGCTGCTGCTGCTGCTTCCTCTGCTGTGGTGGCCTGCAAGTCTCTTGTTGTTGTGGCCTAGGGTTAGACCACCACCGGTGCTGCCCTCCCTCCCTGGCCATGACGAGAGCCATGACGCTGCTCCTCCTCCTTTCTTTCTGTCTCTCGCTCTCTCTCCCTCCTCCTTTGGCTCACGCCCGCTGGGGTGCTGTCCACCGAGAGGTGGCCTCTGCGGCGGATTCATCATCGTCCCCTGTCCACGAGCTCACTGCTGCCACTTTCAACTCTTCCATCGCTTCTGCCCCCGCCCCTTGGGCTCTTGTCGAATTCTATGCTCACTGGTCTGCACCTCCACTCCCTCTCTCTTGATTTTATTTGTTTGGTCAACCCACTCCTGAATCCTCAGGTCCCAATCTTCCCCGTTTCACAAACTCCCTTATTTATTCAATTTTTTTTTAATTCAATGTCATCTACATTCCCTTCACGATTGGGATCACGTTTTCAACTCTTTCTTACTATCAACTCACCTTCTTTGAATCTCAACTCGTGCTTGCTTTAGAAGCAGCTGTTGTGTAGTGCATTTTTAAGCGCGTAATTCGCCTACTGTTACCCAGCATCCATAATCTGTCTTACACTCAGTGTTGCGATTTCCTGGACGCCTGTGCATTGAAGCTTAAGCATTCGAGAACATGTTTTTTTCCTGCTATGAATGCACATATTCGCTGTCGCCTTATTTCTAGGATCTTATTACAAAGTTCTTGGAAAACCTGCTACGATTACATGCCATTTAATTTGAGTAATTTTTTTGGCTTGTCTCGTATATCTGCACAGGTGCGGCGCCTGCAAGAATTACAAGGTGAAATCCTCGGTTCTATTACACTACTGTAGTCTCGCTCGCTATTCGAAATTTTGATCTTCTTGTTGAGTGCCCAGGTCTCGTATGACCTCTGCGTAACGCAGCAATTCAGTGTGAATCTAGTAGATCTTCATCTCCACACAACGAAAGCTTTCTCCTCACTTTACACTGGGTGCACCTGGTGTGTTTGTTACTCTTGTTTCTGAGATTGCTGAATTTGGAGATGTTTGCAGCCACATTACGAGCGGGTTGCTCGTCTTTTCAATGGTCCTAATGCTGTACATGCCGGCGAAATATATCTAGCCAGAGTGGACTGCGCTAATAATGTAAGTTTCTTGACTTGTCTCTGCTGGGTATTTTGCAAACTTTTAAACATATTGCTCAATTTTAGGGTTTAGGGTTTTGTAATTTGGACTGAAGAATTTCAATTAAATAATTTTCCTCTAGAATAGTCACTAAGCTCTTAGCTTTGTGACTCTGAAATGATCTAATTGCTGAGAAGTTATATGAGCTGGGCATGTCAATAGTATGTTTCGGCTCTAGGGTTCAAACCATTATCTTAAACAAGACGTACTTTTTCCATCATTTAATCTCCTAAACCTGGCTGAGTGTTGGGTAGCCAGCTGCCGTCGACCGTCGAAGTCTGTTGGGATAAGTTTCGGTTAAAGTATTAAGTTTGATCGACTTTAGAGATCTTTCGAAGAGTGTGCTCTAGGGTGTGTGTTTGCATTTGACACGCAGGTTAATCAAGATCTGTGTACAAGATTTAAGGTCGAATATTACCCAACACTATTGTGGGCCTCGCCTCCCACCCTCGCGCGTGGTGATCGCGTATCCAAAGACAAAGTTGAGGGTCTTGAGGAGGTTAAGAATGCTCATTCGGCAGAGAGGTTGCTTGAGTGGATCAACAAGCGTGTCTCCAAGTACGTTTGGAACTTCTGATGTATAGGCATATGGATTGCGTCTGGGAAGTTTGTTTGAAGTATATAACAACAAAGTATGGGACCGTTCTGGTGAATGAGTCAATACAGTCGCAGGAGTGCTGAGTTCAGGTGCTCTGAATGCATTATCTTGCCAGTCTTAATCGTGCCCCGAAAAAATCATGTCCACGAAGAATTAGGTCAGTTGACGTTCGTAAGCAATATTATATTGCACTTTTAATCTTCCTCATCAGACCTTACCAATGGAAAGTTCTTGCGTCAAATCACGCTACTTTACTTGGTTTGCTTGTTTGTTGAGCATGGCCTTTCAACAGTTTACTAATCTGATCCCATGTATGCTCCGACCAGGACATACTCCTTAAGTGATGTAACTGCAGAAGGAGGAGCCGACAGAGCCCTCGTTCGCGAAGTCGTACAGGTTGGGAACTTTATCGTATCACTGCTGCTTCTCTGTTTTCTCTATTATAACTGGATGTATCGTCTTATTTTTTCTGCTGTTTGTTTCATATCAACCCGTTTGTCCTGACCCAGTTGATTATGTGTTAGAAAAGATAGTTGCATCAATTCATGACACCGAAGAAGCTACTGCGGCAGCGTTCAAGATAATATTGGATGAAAAGGTAATTTGGTATGTTCAATTGAATATTTCTTTGCACATGAGGGGTTGGAACAAGAAATAAGTTACAAAAGGTGGACGTTTTTCTTGGAATTCCTCTCCACTAACTGTTTTTTGTGCACATGCTTGTTCGTCTTTGTTGAGCTGAATTTATTTTGAGTGTACACATCAATTCTTTCTGGTGAATTTTTGCTATGAAATTGATAGTCAATTGATCTTTCGACTGTGTATTGGAAGACACTGGTGATGTACTAACATCATCATTGTGGAAATGCTCTTATCCTGATTTATGTGAGGCGTGGTGAATGATGCTTTTATCCGTTGATTTTTGTTGATTGCTTAACAGCTTCTGAATTTGGATAATAAAGGGGACTTGGCTCAATTTCTGCAACTTCTTGTGCTTCACCATCCCTCGAAAAGGTTGAAGTCCATTCCCACAACTTCTTGTGCACATAAGTTAAGTCGAATTGCATGAGTGGATCAGGTCCACATCTTTGAATTCTGTATTGTATACTTTGTGAGGTGTTCTGTGTTTGTTCTCTGCATCGGATGCTCTTTCAGAACATGAGCCTTATAGTATCTCAACAGTCCTTATTTGATGGCTGAAATATCTTCGATTGCTTGCTTCGAGAGTAGGTGTAGAAAAGGTAGTGCCGACCTGTTGGTGAATTTCGATGATCTGTGGTCGGAAGGTGATCCATCGATGGAGGTCCTAAGTAAGTATCGCATCTGCGGAAAGTCGTCACCGTCAAATTATTGGGTAAACACTGTTAATTACCATCCTACTTCCACATTACAAAAAATGTTTCCATTTATAGGCACTTTCCTAGTTTCCTAGTTGAGTAGGCTCAGCCTAAATTTTATTTGTTAGCGTGTGAATAGATTCTTTTCTTAAAAGTCAGGTCTTCTTCCCGCTGAGAAATTCCCTGACTGCTGAAGCACCTCTAATTTTATTGTAGGTATCTTGCCGGGGTGATAATCGAGGTTACAAGTAACCTTCACCACCTTCTCCTTGTGGTTTCTACCTGGTTTTAGAAGCTAAAAATTGAAACCTCAGCTGTTTTGTGCAATGTTGAAAGACTTTGCTTACAATATTTTAAACATGACATGCTATGGGGATACCGCTTCAAACGACGTGGTGAATTGCAGACGATCCCATTTAAGTTCATCAGTGATATAAAAAATAATTTGACCAAGGTGTGGGTATGCAGCTGTGGATTATGGCTGCTGTTTCATTCCCTAAGTGTTCGAGTATCGGATTCTGAGAGTCCGGGTGCATTTGTTGCACTGCGTGGGTTTGTTGACCAGTTCTTCAGGTGTCAAGTGTGTCGGGAACATTTTTTGGAAATGAGCTCCAGGTTGTTATCTCCTGATACTTCAACGTATCATAAATCACTGATTTTTTGCTTTGCTAGCAGTTTTTTTTAGTAAATCTTACGATACAATACTACTAACACTGATCCGGTTCATACTTGTAACTGTAGATGCCGTATTTCCGAATTACAAACTGTATAATGTATCTTTAAAACTGTCCTAATTTTTCCAATTTTAGTACGTCTGGGACTCTCAGCCCTTTCTTGTAACTTTGACTGGTCAGATTGGTATATGTGCACTGTGTATTTTATGAGGCAGTCTTGTCGATTTCAGTTTAGCTGACTTACTTATTTGAAATTATTAAATCAGTGCGATGGGTACAATAAAAACACGACGGGACTTAGTGATGTGGCTTTGGAATGCACACAATGAGGTATCATTCTTCAGTCCCTGCAAACTACTGTGGTATTTCTTTCCTGAAGCATTTTAAACAACTCCAAAATTGTGTAGCGTGAGGCTTTAGAAGGATCTGTGACCTTGATATACATTTCTTCACATATCTGTTGTGGGTTTGAATAATAGGTAAACAAACGTTTAGCAAACGAAGAGTTGAAATCTAGGAAGGAAGATCTTCAAGCTCCAAGGACTGTTTGGCCAACAAATCATCTATGTAGTGATTGTATCTTGGGGACCAATCGCGAAGACCCGCTTTGGAACGAGGACGTAGTTTACAAGTTCTTGAAAAATTGGTATGGTCCCTCATTGCAACGTTCAGAGAAGTTTGACAGTAAGGGGGAAGATGAAGTCAGTAGCAGTGGCAATTCAGCACTAAAAGGAGCAATTGTAGGAATATTTATTGCCAGTTCAGGTTTTGGGCTTGTTGCGTGGTGGTGGCGCAAGCAACAGAAAAAGCGCAAGTATTAAATCCTCCTCTTCGATTTTCCCATGCAGGTTTCCCTCTTTTTTCTTTGGTATCAATATATGTTCTAAACAGTTCTATGCTTCTCCATTCTCAACTCCCGCACGGTAAACTAGACCAGTCGATTGGGATGTGGGGCGGCTTGGTTTTAATGTAATTTTAACCTGTGTTGGGATTATTTGCACTTTCGCAGGCACATGCGGAGACGGGTGTGAAGCTATGAGGATGCTCTAGGGTCTCTCCAGTGTTCTGTGTAAATACGTAGTTTTGCTTTGAATCCCTAGACAGGATTTTCAAGAAATTCTTGAATTGGCAATGTAGTCAGTGCTGACAGGAATGCCTTTCCTGGAAGAAATAAGCTGCTGGCCAATGTCCGCAGCCTTCGAGCATTGTCCTCGTTTTAATGAAAACTGATTTAATTCTGAGATAAGTTCCTCAAGCAGCTTATTGTTCTTATTGATCTTGATAGTTTATTTTCATCAGTCTTAAAAATTTCGAGAAAAAATTATGTTGGTAATTGTAAATTTGAGGACCATCACAATTCTTAAACAATTTTCAAAATACTTCATAGCAATCGAAAAATGCAACAATGAAGTCTTCACTTGGTGATACATAATGATGTAAATCCCTGAAATTTGAGTTAAAACTGCTCCTTACGTTTTGAGGTAATGATAAGTGTAACTTGTGAGTATTTCTACCAAAAAAAACTAGTATATGCAACAGTTGAAGTTGATTTATACTAGAAACTCCGTCTTCATCTCCATCTCCATCTGTTTCCTCGATTGGTTTCATATGTAGTCAGTTCTTATGTCGTATTTAGATGTTTTATGACACGAAGTTTGTCTAGGAAATTTGACACGTTGTTTTAGATAACCTTCCATACAACAGAAAATTAATGTATAAACCATTCAAATTTTTTAGGTTCTAGCATCACTTTCCACGGAACATAGACGCAAGATGATTACAAAATGTGGGAAAGTAGGAAATTTATTAATATAATGAGAATGCTTTTTATTTTTTACTTTTTTATAGATATTAAAAGTTGAACATTGTTTATCATCTATGTTATAAGAAATATATGAAAATCTAGTGCATCTTGCAAAATTAGATTGTCACTTCTACAATGTGATTTTCCAAAACAATTGTTGCAATTTGGTGAATATTTTCGTTTTCTGAAATACGAAGTTAAAGGTACTTTACAATGTGATTTTACATGTGAATCATGAATCCATGTTCTTATTCAATGCTGGATGTGTGATGAAACAAATCAAGTGACTTATGGCACATCAGATTGTAAAGCTGAAGCAAAATCAAAGAAGTTCAAAGTTCCATCTTTGTCTGAATCAAGTTCTGAAAAAGCATTGCATATGCTCTTTTCATCTAAAGATGGAACATATTGTTTGGTAACTGATAGGAATAATTCTCTTGAAATAAGGGTTTCCAGTGAAGACCCTAAAACAATTCAATGATTACTCAATATCAAAAAATAACAGAGTATGCAATTTTTTCCATGATTGTAACTGAGTTGAATTTATTTAATTGAAACTTAACCAATTCCAAATTTGAGTTTTAGCTTAAGTGTAACTTACAGCACAAGTAAATTTAAACACACAAAATAAACCTTGTATTCTCAATATATATTTTCTTATGCCTCCTTTGATAAGTTATAACATAAATTTAGTATTATTATTGTTATTATAATTATTTTGAAGGCAAACTTAAAAAGGTGACATTTGTTACACCTGATTTGGTGATTTTTCATTATTTCAATGACGCTGCCCCTGAGATGATTGATTAAAACTGTATTGTTTCCACATCATATGAAACAGTTATAAAGATCAACATTTAAAAAATTAATAACACATTCATTTTCACAGCCAGAGAGGTTAATGGTAAGAACCTTTATTGAAGAAACTGTCAAAAGCTTTTTGAATGATCTCATTGTCACAAGGGAACTCATTGTATTGAAGTAGTTGCTTTTTAGCAATAGCATTAAATAGCGGCCAACTGACATGTTTTCTAATTGCAATTTTCATGATTGCTTTCAATTCAACCTGCTGGGTTTACCACGTTACACTTGTTCAAGGAAAATAAAATGACACTTTTTCACATTTGAGTAATAAAAACATATCAATTTTCACCTACACAAATCAGGCAACCGTAACATGATTCTTACCATAATGTGCACAATTTTAATCTTGAGTTGCTTGAAGATCACACTAAAGTTCACAATAAACTGCTAAATGTTTATTATTTATTATAATAATTTCCATTTTTAAAGGAACACATGTGTTCTGTATTCATTCAAATAAAGTAAACTCATGAAGCAAATGTCTACTAAAGGATTATAAGTGTTATCTATACATATATATATATAGTAATTTGGTTTGCACAGTTTGATTTTATATTGTTTATTTAATTATTAATGAAAGAATGCTTTAAGCACACTGATTAAAATTTTCAAATATCAAAATAACACTACCATTGTTCATGGTAACAAGGAATTGATACCAGGTAGTGTTCCTGGTAAAAACATTTATTTTTTAATATATTAGATTGTGAGGTAGTTTTGACCTTGGAAGGAGGTGCTCCAAAAAGAGATATAACTGCACATACAATTTCTTCTTTATTTAACTTGCATTTACAATCGTTGTCAAAGTAATTGAAACTATCCTGTATGTCATTCTCTCTTAAATAAGTCATTGTTTATAATTACAATAATGTAAAGGCATTGAATTCAACGATGCATCAAAATAAGAAGGATTCTGACTAAGTTTATATTTACGCAGAAAACAATAAAATATAAATTATGATTAATACTCAATGAATGTATATATATATATATATATATATATAATCAGAAATACAGTTGCGTATTTAAAATGTATTTATTAGTTGATAATTAACTGTTACGGTAAACTGTGACCTTCAGTTTTTTACATTTTTGGATTTCTTACATGCATTATTATTCCTCAACAATTTATGCATTTTTCTAGAGTTATAATAGATTTCAGGAATGATTAAAACTGTAACAGAGAATATTGTTACAATTAAATTGATTTTTTTCAAAATCAATATCCCCAAATTTAATGTCTAATTTTATTAATACGATTCACATCAAAAAATTACTATAATGTATAAATGTAAAACCAGATACTTTAACCATGATTACACACTTATATTTGTTAATGTATAATTTATGTTAGTTTTTATGTTTTCTTTTTGGAATACCACTTTTTTCCACGACAACATTTAACATGCATTTATAGAAATTAAAAGTATTATGTTCATATGTTTATTTTCCCCACCGTCACAAGCATAAATGGAAAATTTTCAGTTCAATGATACATAGACTTAAAAACTTTGAAAGCATTTTAACAATTCAAACTACACATTAAATTATTTTATACTACCTCTACTGCTTGAAGCAAAAAGAGGAATCTTATTAAGATAAACAACACAAATATCCCTCTATATATCTTGTACGTTAAAGCATTAAATTTTTGTTTGTATATTCTTAGTAAGAGAACAGATTTGTCCAACTTGACAAAATAAACTCATAGAATTCTTGCAACTTGTGAATAGAAATTTTTATGTTATGATTTAGGAAACTTTGAGCAAATAAGATGCTCTAATATTTTCTTGCCGACAAGCACTTTTTCTTAGGAGTGTTGTTTGATCTTTCATGCAAATTTATATGCTGAGTTTCAGTTGTTTAGGGACAGTCAATTAACTAACACATTGATAAATTGTCATTACATCAAAATTTCCATTGACGTTGTATTCTTAAAAAATGATTCAAAATGATAAAACACAATCTGTGAAACAATTTTTTTAAATTCAACTACAACCCTAATTCATAACAGAAGGTGTTATAAATAAAAGTTTTTAAAGTGTACAGTGACTCTTTTATTGATTTTTAATTTTTTTTTTGTTGATTTATCATTAAAATTTGTTAGACTTTCTTGTTTCTTTTATGAGCGAAGAAGTCTTGAGTATCAAAATATATTTCGTAGCATAATCATTTGATGCAATAATTCACAAATAGCAAAAAGAAAAAAATATCAAAATTTATTATATGATTTAAAATAAAAAAATAATATTTTTATACATACATACATATATGCATATATATATTTGATACATACATACATACATACATACATACATACATATATGTACATGTATAATTTTATATATATATATATATATATATATATATATCATCTTAATTTACATAGAAAAACTAAAGGAAAAAAAAAAAAAAAAAAACTTTGTCTCTGCATTATTCTTCAAAAAAAAATGAAAACTTGACAAAATTTCACAATTTTTTTTGAAAAAATTACTTAACATAAGTGAAATCTATAATGATACACAACAAACCGGTAATATAAGATTCATGTACTTGCAATTCTAGTGTTATACATGTTATTTATTTATCATTTATTTTTTTTATGCATGTGTGCATTTATTTATTTTCTACAATTATTCTTTTATAATTGTATTGATCTAATTTCTATTTTTATGGTATTAAGAAAATATGTTTACATGATTCTTAACTACATTCTTTGGATTGTTACTCATTGTTGTATTGTATATTATTATAAGCTAGTAATTTGCTTTACTATATTGCTCCCAAACTTAAGGCACCAAGTGCTAGAACTTACAAAAATTTGTTCTCTGAGTAAACATAAATTCTATAAACACAAAAAATGTTCCCAATGTTTTTTCAAAACAATAAAGCATCTCTTCTTCAATTGTGCACCATGTTGTAAATTCAGCTTCAACTTGAATGCTGCTTCCTTCTCAAGCACAAGCACACGGTAAAGTATGGCCCATGGTGTTTTGTCTTCTTTGATCATATATCTTATCATTCCACAAGGTCTTTTTCCCAGCAGCATTGCCGTTGCTCATCTCACTACACAAGCTATTTCCCTGCACATCACTAGACTCTTCTTCTTCTTCTTCTTCTTCTTCTTCTTATTCCTTCATTTATTCATTATCTCCCTTGTTCATTCATTCATTTACAGTCTCTTGTCCTTTACTCTATTCTCCAATTGTGAATTTTGCTGGAAAACTGATTAATTGGTTAAGATTGAATTTGAGTCTTGTGCCCCTTAAGCTAGCATTAGGTAGGCACAGATCAGCAGAGACAAGCTTTGAAAGTTTTCAATTTGGAGTTAGATTGAGGAAGTAATGGGAAACTTTGGCGTTGTGTTTGTTTTACTTGTTCATTTGATTCAGGGATGTTGTTGATGGCTGTCATATCCTCTGCCTCCTCATCTGGATTGCACAGTTAGAGGAACAGTTTTTAGGGTTTGAAAGTTTCCATGGTGTGGGGGAAGGAAACCCAATCAAAATGATTATAAAATTTTCTGAAAAAACATACCTCTCATAAGGAAGTTTTGAATTTGAGATTGGAATGGTGGATTTACTACTGTGCTGTGTTGGTTGATGTCAGATATTCTGGTCCAATTTCTTTGCATCTTATTCTCATTTATTTTACTTTTTCACCATGTTGGATTTAGATTCTTTCTTCAACTGTTGCTGATCACCTGAAAAACACACAATGCCCAAACTTTACTTAGGGCTGACATCCTTGGCCACAAACATCAGAACATTCTTAAACACCATACTCTTATATTGATTGGACCTTATATGTCATTTGAGAGGGGGGAAATCTTACACTTGTTTCCAATTTCCCATCCCTAATAGGCTGCCACACAGTCTATTCCCCAACTGTTTTCTTTTTTTCTTTTTTCTTTTGCTTTATATAAAAAAACCTTTAAATTAAATAAAGCTAATTAAAAATGGTTTATTCTAAAATTAAACCTTTTTTGAACTTGGGTAATTGTGTCTGGTAGTGGAGAACGAATGACCTTGGCCAGCCCTAAAAAGCCACCTCCTTCCATCGATAATGGACCTCATTCAAACTCCTCAGTGACTAATTTTATTTGCAATGCCATAGTTGGATGTCAAAACTAAAAAAATCCTCAGAGTTTCTGAATTCAGATTTGTCATTTATACTGCAGGAGAGAAACTCAACTCACCACGCAGGAGGAGGAGGAGGAGGAAGAGGCCTTCGATGAACCGAAGCTCTTGGCAAATATATTCGGGGAAATAAAAGGGGTCGGGTGTGAATAATTGTGCAGCCCAGCATCTTTGTTTGTTTGTTTGTTTGTATCAAGGGACTTTCTTCAACTGGCAGAGGACTTCAAGACAGACTCTGGTAAGATTGGTCCTTCCTACAGTATCCGCCTTCTTCACTGCTTTCGTCTTCTTCTTCTTCTTCATCTGGGTTGAATTGTTGACCTAAATAATTCCAAAAGGGAAAAATAATTTCACTCAGAATCTAGCAGCACATGATGATGTTGATGTACGAATTCGCATTCAAGGGATTGAACTCAGCTTTCTTCGGATCACCTTCTTTCTTTTCTGCTTGGATGACCTCCGGCGCCAGCTACTACTGCTATCCTGTGGTGCCGGTGTTCGTTCGTTTAAAGTCTGATATCAGCATCCGACCCACTGGCGTTTCTGGTTTTCGACATCCCAAAATCAGCAATCTTCACTGAACGAGCTCGGGGCACGAGCTGGCTGGAACGATCTTCATCAGTCACCAGGAACCCTGGTTTGAGATCGCGATGAGCTAGCTAGCTGTGAGTACACTTGTATCGTTGGTGAAAATTAAGCTAAGATTAAGATAATTGGGACTTGGCTAAGATTGAATCAAGATTAAGATAACAGCTTGTCAGGGTTATATTTAATTTAAAGACTACGATTCCTTTAGATAAAATTGGAAGGTAACTAGGCATGGTGGGGAGGTACATGAGAACTTTAAGGCAACCAGAAGAGAAGAAGTTAGAGTTTTATCGGAAAGATTTGAAATATATTCATTGATATGAAAATATTTAGAACTAGTACCTTTGGAGGTTACCTCGATGGATGCTAAATGTTGTTTAGAAGAGATCTTGGAAGAATTCTAGATTAGAATTTGTTTCAATTTACCTCATGCCTTCTGCAATTTGGAGCATCGATATAACCTCTTCTAACAGTCCGTGGTCGTGCGATGTGATGGTCCTCTGCTTGAGAAACTACGACGGTTTTCGTGTCCATTCTTTCCATGATGAGAAAGCAATCCGAACTAGTTTCGTTTCTAGAACAGCGGAGAAGGCGCAGCATGTGAGGGTGATGCCCCAGTTACTGTAAAGCCGTCATTTCTTCCTCAAATGCGCGGAGTATGAAGGGCCTCGAAAATCTAGATTGCATACACGCCGCCCAGAACATTTGGTTCACGCACTGTGCCAGATGAACCTCTACCAAGCAGAGTGCCGCAATAAAAGTTGTTTGGATTTTGAGGATTGAGGGATAACAAAGTAAAGGACGATGTACCCAAGTTTAACTCCTGATCTTCGACGGCGCCATCTTCTTCAACAATTGATCTGCAAGTTGTCGCTCTGTCGGGTCGTCCAGCTGCACAGATCTGAGGCAGTCTTTGAGACCCTTCTGGTCTTCCTTCATCGCTGTCAGCAGAAGTAGTTCGTCCCCAACTGTCAGCTTACCGTAGCACGACGTTGGCTCAAACGTACTGTTATTGCGGGAAACTCCCAAGACTTCCACAAGAATGCTCTGAAGAATGTCTGTGTGCCAGCGGACTTCGTACAGAACTTTTGAAAACGTCACTTTCATATCACTTTGTGCAGCAGAGTTTTCTCTGTCTCGGACAGCCTTTCGACGAGCAAGGCACATTGGTGCATGTTCATGAGATCACAATGTTCGCTCACACGTTGGACTGATTTCGCTATTCCCCTGCACATGTTGAGAAAAGTGTCCGCGCCCTGCTGGGAGGCGACATCATTTTCGTGTTCCCGCCAGCTAGAGAACCACCGTGATATGACATGAGCGAACACTCGACAGTGAACTGTTTACTAGGGTTTCACCTTTCAGTAGGTACTGCGATTTGCTGGCGCTTTAGATGATAAGTAATGTTTCAGGGGGCGCATGATCTCTACTAATTCACTCCGGCTTGTATGCACTTCTAAACTCAGAGGGATCAACAAAAGCGACCTTCAGGCGTGATTGTACAATCCAGATCGCCCAACCCCTCGCTCAAATATCAGAAAAGAGTCCGCTAGGAACTGCTGATTTTCTGGCCTACATTTGGCATCTCCTTCTGTTACTTTCAAAACAAAGGTGAGGCGGACCCTCCACGTATGATGAGGCCAATAACACGAAACAACTTACTGTAAACTGTGCGCCTTGACCACCCACAATTCAGCATTATTAAACGGAGACCATTTTGATCACTTCAAATTCTAGAAATATTGTACAGGAAAGCATGCGTGACCAATTGTCTTTCAAGCAGAGCTGATGCAGAAACAAGTCAAATCTCAAAGGTCACGCACACGTAAAACCCTTGCAAGACTTGCAGCCAGATTCCAACTTTACAGGCTGACCTCTCACTTTCGAAGAATCTGTGTCGAGCAGAACTAGAGCTTGGCCTCTCATTCATGCAACGATAAACCAAACTGTACAAGAGATGATTGCACCATCAGTCAGCAGCCATTAATTCGCCCGACCATTTCCTGAACTTGCGGGCTGGATCTCAACAGGTTTTTCGATCGAATCACATTGCAAAGTCGCTAAGCTTAATGTTACATTCATGTGAGATCAAGTTCAAAGAATCGCACAAGTCTGAATGCCTACAGCACCTGGTAAGCACTCCCCTCTAATTCCTTTCCGCAAACAACATAATCACTTTTGGCGCGCCACTTTCTCTTCACACAGGATTACGAAGGAATGATCATCGCCCACTTCGGGAAATATCCGCATGAGTGCCACATCAGAGACACCAGACTCTCTTCCGCATGCCGCATGTCAAGACTGGACAAGCTCTCCCGAACTCAGCACTGTGCTTGCGGGGCACGACTAGCATAATTAATGACCTGTGAAAGGTAGAGTAACCTATAACTTATAATATTAGCAAGTTAGAGTACATGTGGGGGAGATACAATAGGAGAATTACTTTTTCTCTTGCAGGAGAAAACATTTGATGAAGTTACCAAAATTTATCAAAACATTTTGATTTAAAAAATGCAGATTTTAATTATAATTATAATTATAATTCTTAAGCATTTTAGTCCATAACTAAAAAAAAGTGGTTTTACTAGTAGAAAATAGGAGGACTAGCAACTAGTATAGTAATTGTAGGAAGAAAGATATACATGTTCCATACAAATTGTAGCATCTTGGATGTAGGTGGGAGTATAAGGCCAAGGCCTTATGACCACTCTAAGACACCCACATACACTACTTGTGAGCCTTAGTGAGGCTCAAATCTTTAATCTCTTAAGCAAATTATCCTTGAAGTAAAGCGTATCTACTTAATTTTTTAAATATTTATAACTTATTCCTAATAACTTGAGTTTACATATTTCTTATGCAATCAAAAAATAAAATAAAATCGTCTATCTAAAAAATATATTTTTTAATTTTATTTTTATTGAAAAAATCTAATGAATTGATAGTGACTATTTTTTCGAATATACAATTGTTTGATTGCATTTCTTTTATTTTTTTTGTACTTTTTCTTTTTTGTTTCTTGTGAATTGCATCTTTTACTTCACATTATAAATTACAAGCAACTTTTAATTAAAGCCATCTTATAATTTGGGTTGAAAAATAAAATTTGACTTCACATTTTTTCTTAAAATCTTACTACTAAGTAAATATCTTTAGTCCTCAACTACAAAGATTTCTCTAAGCATATAAAATGGTGTAATTTATCTATCTGATGGAAATAGACAACTTACACCTGGTTTGAAAGAATGTACAAGTAAGTCTAGAAAGAAGAATAAACTCAAATCCAAAGCATGTAATAAAAGATTACATATCTAAAGTATAGAGGAAATTTTTAAAGGAGTTAAGTTGACCACATCCAAAAGAGACATTAACTACTTATTGCCACCTAAAAAATAGATTAAAAGACTTTATTGTAAAACTCAAACTTACCAACAACAAACACAAAGTCAACATGAGCCTCTTCTCATTAAAAAAAGTCCCACCATTTACATTTAAAAAAATGTCAATTTTTCTTTTATTTGGTATCATCTATGAACTTGTACATATCTATTATAATGTTAATGTTGGTGGTTAGTGGATGATCTAGTGGCCCAAAGTATGTAAATCTACAAAGTCACCTTAGATAACTTGTAGTTTATTTGTATAATCTTCAAAAATTATGATACTAATAGCATTGGATTCCCATCAAACCTGTAGTTTATTTGAATGGTCTTAGAAAATTGTGAAGCTAATAGCATTGGATTCCTTTCAAACTTGCTAATGTCCCTATGCAAAAAAGAACATTTCACACTCACCTCTCTCATTTGTATTTTAGAAACAAGTGTTGTGGGTCGGACAACTAGTCCCAAAACTAAACTTTCACGACTTAATCTCTGAACATTGCAAGAAGCTCCAGTTGAGTACAAAATTAGGAACCCTATCCACATCAACATCCACACCCACATGGATGGATGGATGGATGGATGGAGTTAGGGGGCATTTTGGGTGATGGAGAGGCCACTGGAGCACTCCCACGAGGTGAGCTCCCGGTTGTGTGGGGTGGGGTCCTGCCATTTGGTCCCCATAAGCTTCGTCTCCCGGTTTCGGTTCTTCCAGGCCATCTCTGCATTTGCGCATAACCACTCCTTCATGGTCTCATCGTCTGCTTTCTTCGCATATTTGCTGCACCAACGGGCAAAGATGCCTTTGAAACCAGGGCCATCGTTGCCGTTCCCCTCATTGTTGTCGAGGATGTCTACACCTTTTGACTTTGTTGTCAGGTGCTTCATAGCAAAGGAAGCGGCAAGACGGCAATCGGCAAGGTAGCCCTTGTTTCGAGTGTGCAGGTACAGCATATATGCCGCACCGATGAAGGTGCCTTGGTTATAGGTGTAGGATTTGGTGTCGAGTTTGCCATCTGACTTCTTGTGGTCGCTCACTCGCCCGGTTGTCTCGTTGTACAGGTTTTCACGGGACCACTTCCATAGCTGCTCTGCCTGTGAACGGAATCCGGTATTCACAGTGTTTCGCGCGAGGTACATGGCGGCAATGATGGCCGGGAAGTTCACACATGCATTTTTGGTTTTGACAGGATCATTGTACTTCCACCAAAGACCACCGCCCAACGAATCGTCAAACCCTCTTCTCCAGACCTCGTTGAACTGCACTTGCGCTTGATGAAGGAACTCCTGGTTGGTTTTGCCTGTCAGCTCATAGCCTCGTACCAGGGCGATGACCCCCCACATAATGTCGTCGTTGAACATGTTCCAGGAATGCCAATGGGGGGTGCCGCTCACGATTTGGTTGAGCCCATTCACAAGTTCGGTGATCATCCCCTGGTACACCGTTTTCATAGGGGAGCTTCGTTTTGCAGCATCTTCGAGTGCTTCGATCTGCTCGCACGTCGTCCAAAAGTTGCCTCGCCCAGGTTTTCCGCGCTTCGCAGTATTCACGCAATAGTAGCCGACCAGATTCGAGTCCTTGTTATAAAAGGCATTGTTGTATGCCTCAATTGCCGAGTTTTTACTTTCTTCGCTGAACGGCATCGCTAGAAGCGTATTGCCACTGACGACAAGCGTGTGGTGAAACAAAAGCAAAATTAGGACCACCATCCACATTGAGATAACAGAGCCCATCAATGTGGAGGAGAGAATGGCGCAGAAGGTGAAAACAATGACACAGACAATTACAAGCCAACAAGAACGATGGACCCCAAATTGGAGAGACTAAGAATCCCTCAATTGCTGTTTCCAATGAGTTCAATGTTGTGCATGTACTGATTAAAAGACAAGCTACCACAAGCTATTAAACAAAGAGATTGACAGGAGTTTGTAACCCGTTTGCGAACAGTTACTTGAGTTTGTCTGAAAAGGATATAGCGAACCTCAAGGATTCAATGGAGGGGAGTGCACTTGATCAATGGTCACGTGCAGGAGTAAAGTTGGTCCAAACCCTCACCCTCAAAACGCTCCAAAAGCTGGTACGCCAAGCATGTGATGTCCAATGAATTCGTTCACAATTTTAGGATGACCTTCAGCAGGACTATCTCAAAAGCGCACACGGGAATCGTTTGAATCAGTGGCAGAGAAGTAAAATAAGCTAAGGAAGATTGGACTAGTATTGAATGAGCTCATGCGAATTAAATAGCGGTGCCAGTTATGAGGTAAATCAAGTCACTGTTGCGAAGACAACACCATTGATTGGTGCTCTATGCTTGATTGTCTTAGAATCACCACATACCCCACAACCAACGTGTAAGGTAGAGACATCCATATTTAATGCCCACCCCATTGAGGCATTGTAGACTCCCTTTCTCCTACAGTAGAAAATGTTTCTTGTATCAATTTCCTTCACATTCATGCGACATTGTTTAATTTATTGGAAACCGGTTCGTGTACGTTAGACTCCTTCGTTGAATCTAAAACAACCAACTATTGGCAAGTCAAGCACTGGAATAGGAGGTTGGGATGTTTTGGGAGTTGTCGTGGGTGGACATTAGAATAGTATGGTTTGAATCGGTGGGAACCACATGCCAAGTGTGGTCATGGAGCACTTTTTCGCTTTCGAAAATTGCAGTAAATTGAATTGATAGAGAAGAAAATCATGACAAATTTGCAAAGTAAGTCTCTATCTGGCTGTCTTACCTTATTCCAAACTCCGTGGATGAAACAAGTTGTCGATTGCGAACGACGCCCGCTGAGGACGACTGGTTGAGTGCGCCAATAGCGATCACTAAAGTTGCCAGACTTCTTACGTACAACCTCCTATCCCTCCACTCAAACACTTATCACAAGTCTTTTGAAAGCGACGGCCACCAGATTTCATCACCAGAGTATTCCTCTACCGACAGCAAAACGGGGGTCGCCGTAGAGCCAAAGAAAAATACAAAGAAACGAGGGATAAGATAAATGGTTGTCAACTAGATCGTGAGTTAACCAGCTCCTCCTGCTGATCTCAAGATGAAGCAGATCCCTGGAACGAAGCTCCCCAACGAAACAAACTGGGAGAAGCCACACTGTTCTTCTCCCGTCAAACCCTACCAGTGCCTTGGGCGGAGCAAAGATTCATTCGCTGAGGCAACAATGAGAGAACCGGACCGTCACCGAGAACTTTCGGTACCGTGCTGCAAGTGAAGTCCCTCATTTAAATCCTAAACCTGGTACATTGTGCCAAAAACAAATTTGTTACAGAATACTCATACTGCCTCACACACCAATATAATATCCGGATATCTGCGGATAGTTATGTCTAGGTGGTGTACCATGATACGCAAATGTGGTGGAAACGCTTATGCTGACGTCCGGTTATTTCACCATCAATTTGCCTGATGCCGCGATCGAACATATGGAAGTCAGAGTGTCTGTAGAGTCAGAGCCTGATTGGGTGGGCTCGTCTCCTCCTGCCAGGCGCGCATTGACTCTCTTCCGAACTGGCAGATGTTGGCATTATTTTATACTAATTCATATCGAGACATATCTTCCGAGAATTGGTCAAGGTGCTACACCCAAACTTCCCAGAAGAATGACTCGCAGTTCCATTTCATTGCATTGCAGGCACCGACCAAGACTGAGTAACCAACCGTGTGAGCCTTCAGTATTTTAGGTTCTTTTTGCCGAAGCGAATTGCATGAAATTAAATGTATGATTATGGACACCATACCGATCAGGCAGAAAGCATTTACAGTGGGTAGGACTTTTCACTCTGGGCCAGGATCATGTGTCAGCCAGAAGAAGCGCAACATAATATTATTCAAAACCAAAGCCAGTAATTTGCAACGGCATGATGATTGAGAACTGTGGACACGTCCAGGAGTATGTTACAAAAGTTGAAGGGTGCCATTTGATGCGAGATTGTCAAGGTGACCACAGCTGAGAGCCAGCCTCCAAACACCAACACATGGAGTACAATTGCATAACCTCTTCAGTGTACATGCCAGCGGTTGGTTAAGAAAAGAAATATTTTCTTCAGAATATGCGTGAAATGATAAACATTTTGTGTATTAACATATGAAAAGAAAAGACCTCTTTTGGAAGCCTTTGCCTTTGGTAGTATGAATACATCATGTAATGGACTAAATTATTATTTTGGAAGCCTTTGCCTTTGGTAGTATGAATACATCATGTAATGGACTAAATTATTATTTTATTAGAAATCTAAATAGGTTGGCTTATATCTATTTTTTGAAATTATAAAAAGTGCTAAATTCCTATTTTTAAATGTTTATTTAAAGAAATTTTTTGATCCATTTTCTAGTTTTTATATTTTATATTTATTTTATATGTAGCCATGTCTTTGAAATGGACTAAACAAAAAATTCAAGAGCCAAATTTATTCATATCATGTAAGAAAAAAGATACATTCCACATCATCTTTTCCTCTTTAGTATTGTAAATCATGAGCCTAATATCACACATTTACAGGCATTGACAATTGAGAGCTATACTCTTTGTCTACATTGACAGGGCACCAAAGTGATATTTAAGTATATAGAAAATTAAATGGTGGAAGAAAAGAACAAAGAAATGAAGATTAATAAAGCTTTTGGATGAATGAAGCTTATCTTGATGATGTGAATATGTTACAACAACAATAAATAATAATATTGAAGTTTACAACATCCTTTCTTATTCATGACTTTTTTTATTCTTTAGTTTCATAAAGATGTCTTCTACTCAATTATTTTCTTTTGAGACAATTTTTTTCATACATGATCATCATTCAAACCTAACAATAGTAAGAAAATTACTTTGACTAAATGTAAATATTATGAATATGTCAAATATACTCAAGACACTCTATTAATCTATATAATCACAAAAACTTTCTATATGTAGAATTATTGTTATTGTTGTTATGGCTTCTCATACTTGTATTTTATTAATTCTATGAGTAAGTATTGGATTGGACTTTTTTTAGTTAATGGCAGCATTGAATGACAATATGGAGGTTGTAATCATCAGATCTCTTCAACAAAAAAATAAAAAATAAAAAATAAATTTTAAAAATTAAAAAAGTAGGATCCTATATACAAGTTGTAGACTTTAGTTGTATCTTTTGAAACTTCTAATTATAGCAGCTCTTACAATGATAAAAATGAATGGAAAGAATATTTTGTACATCTTGGCCTTTGGTGTGACAGTTGCATGAAGAAGAAGAATCTAAGAACACCTGATTTTAAGCACAAGGTTTTTAAAAAGGTACTTTAAGTTGATAGGTGATAAGCTTCACAATGGATTAAAGATAATTTTTTGTGAATGATTTATTTGATTGGTTACTTTATAAAGGCATTAGAATTACTCATACTACCCTTTTAATCTAAGTGAAATTTTTATGATGCAAAGGTTTAGTCAAAAAAAATTATTTGTTGTATTATAATAGGAACAAAGATAACTTCTATATGTCTAGCTTGTGCATGTTCTCTAATCAATTGGCATTGGATTTCAATATGTTTTGTCCATGCATAAAATATAGGATTTTGAACTTGATGGATGCATGACTAATTATCACTAAAATTAAGAGTAGTATGTGAGATATCAAGGCCTACCTTAGTTAGAAGTCTACATAAGTATGTAAAGCCTTTTTATGCATTAAATAATACTTTGTATTTTGCTTTTGTTGTAGATAGAGATGCAATAGGCTAGAATTTCCTTGACCAATCTATTAGATAGTTTGTAGATTTAGAATTTAAGATTTTAAATTAGTTAGATGTATGTAACAACTATAATGTAGAATGTTTAGTGTCTAAATTCTTCTATCAATTAACATTTGTATTATTCCATAGTACTTGATCTCTTTTTAATAAGCAGAACAAAGCAAAATTAATTGCTCTCTTCAAATAATGTAAGATTTATTTTGCAACTTTTTAGTGACTCTTTTATTGTTTTTTTATAAAGCAACTCATATAATTTATTTTATAAGAGATGTTTGATTTTGTATAAGTATCATAAATTAATCTTCTTATAAGTGACTTATACAATTATAGATCTATTGATTTAATTCCTATTACTTTTTTCAATCTACACGTAAGATCTATTAAAAAATTTATTACATTATATTATATTATTCCAAACTTCTTCAATAATTTGTTATTATAATATTTTTATTATATGCATATCTTAGTAGAATGATGAATTATTTTAGTCCCAAGGTATTGAAATTCTTCTCCAAGCTCTATCATTTCAAATTTAGTAGTTAGATTTCTTTAGAGGTCCTTAATTATTTTTTTTGTTGTAATCAATAATGAGTATATTCTCTACATAGATCAAGATAATAATAAATTTTTTATAATTTTTTGATTAATAAACATTTGAATCTAACTTACTCTTCTATAATTCATGTTTGAGCAGATAAGTATTGATTCTTCTACATACATAGTGCTTATATCAAACCATATAAGATTCTATTTGATCTACATATTTTAGATGGATTGCTAAATTTGAGAAAGTCATGTAGAATCTCTATAATTATTTTATCTTTGAGGTATTTATTCAAAAAAGTTATAATAATTTTTATTTATTTTATAGTCAATTCAAATTTTGTAACTAATATAATATTGTCACGAATTTAGAATACTGAGTGGAAATCTAAACAAGAAGCTCAAGAAGAATCGACAAGAATTAGATTAATCATATGAGTACATAAACAACACTAGAGAGGTGAGCTAGAGCTCTAAGAGGTGTGCTTTCGAGACTAAGGATCCCCTCAATCTCGACTCCTATATATACTACAAGCTAAGAAGCTTCTCAAGTACCTTCCACAAGCTAGGAAGCTTCTCAAGCAGCTTTCACGAGCTTGAAAACTTCTCAAGTAGCTTCTACAAACTACAAAGCTTCTCTAGAACCTTCTAAAATCTTCTATAATTTCCTAATGTATGTCCTTGACATCACCCTCCTTTTTAGCTTCGAGGTCTTTGAGAAGCACTCCTATTATAGGTCAATACCAACGTACGAAGTTGAAAACTTGTCGCACAGTATCTGCAATATACTCTAATTATTGCTCACACAGCAAGTAATTCATTGGTCCTTGTAACCAACGATAGTATCCTATGCCTTTGATTTCCGGCCAGGCATGAACTTCCGTGTCTTCATTGTAAAAATGCCTTGCAAATACTTCTTCGAGAAGATCACCATAGACAAGTTCTACCTCAAACACAATCATTAGTGACTTGTTATTATGTATCTTCCGTTGTCTTTGTGGTATAAGCGGTTTTTCATCTCGAGGTTGTCTTTGTGAGATACTTGGTTGAGAGGACATGACTGGTATGATATCTATCTCTTGGCTATCCATATCAGACTAAAAAAATAAGCACTAAACATGAAATAATGGGCTCAGGTTACAAATTTATAGTTTCTAACTATGTCTTTTAGAGGTTCTTTCTCCACCTTCTTTGTAAGGCCAAGGATTAAGAGGCTTCAAAGAGAAGGGACTTCACTGAAAAACTTTCATCAAAAGGACTTAGGTTTTTGAGGATAGTATCAATGAAACTCCTATACCCTTTACGACACATTGATAAGATTTTCCGCTCCTTCCCATCTGCGTTCACTGATATCATAGCCACTCCAATGCACTATGTACTTCAATTTCTCCCACTTATGCCACGAATCTAGTACCTTTTCCACCTGGTATTCCTTGTCATTCTCAATTTCAATACTAGGTGGCAGATATTGCACTCTTTCAAGAAAAGATGATTCTCGATAAGGCTC